AATGTGACTGGGAACAGTCATCTTGGATTTATCAAAGATGTATGATGCCTCACCAATATGACAGCCTTCCACAAGAAATGACTGGCTGCGTGGCCAAGGGGAGAGCAGGGCATTTTCTTTACTTTCATATTAATCAGGCTTTTGACAGAGGCTGCCATAGTATCCTTGTAGTCAAATTGGAGAGATGTGGTTTGGAGAGGTGAGTTATGGGGTTGATGGAAAACTGGCTAGACTCAGATTCTAAATATTATGATTGTCAATATTAAGACTGAGTGACAGCTGGTCACTCTTGATGTTTCTCAGGATTGATACTAAGGTCAGTATTTTTAATATCCTCATTAATGACTTATCCACACTTAATGACCTACCTAATCACTGTATCAAGCTATCAGATTGGCTGATACCAAACTGGGGGAAGTGGTCAATATGTTTAGTGGTAGAAAGTCCAATTCAGAGGGAACTCAGCAGGTGGGAAAGACAGACCAACACCTATCTCAGGAACTTCAACTAAAGTAATGTCCTACATCTGAAAACAGCATAAACTCACAAAAAAGCACAGGCAGAAGACTGACTAAACAAAAAGCAAATCTCCAGAAAAAGGACCCTAGGTCCCCTTTGAAATCTTCTGACAAGTTGAACGTGAGTTAGCAGTGGATATTTTTGCAGTAATAAAGACTAACTGCACACTGTGGAATATTAGCAAGACTAGACCTATCGGGTCAAGTGAAATTGTTATTGTCCTCTACTTGGCTCTGGAGACTGATTGTCCATTTTGGGGCTTAATATAAAACATACTGAAGAACATCCATTGAGAGGCCACCAAGATGATTAAAGCTGTATTTGTTCTGTCTCGAGCAAAGAAGGCTGAGGCAGGATTGCAATGCTGTCTTCTGCCACCTAATGCAAATCACAGAAAAGACAAAGCTGGACTCTTCCTGTATGTACACAGCAAAAGTATGAAGGGCAGTGCAAACGAATTAAAACAAAGAAAACTGCAATGTAGCATGAGGAAAACTTTCACAGTAGAAGGTGACACTTAAGATGGGCCCAGAAAGGGGAGAATCTCTGTCCTTACAGATATTCAAGATGCTACTGTATAGGAGCCTGAGCAATGGGATCTAACTTTACTGGCTGGCCCTGCTTTGAGCAGGGGATTGAATCAATCTCCAGACCTCTCACCTAGCCTAATTTCCTCTATGATTCTACCATTGCAGAGAGTCAGTTTGGGTACCTACACCAGGATGAAAGTGCCCCCAGTGCAGATTAATCTGGTGAGAAGGTGTTTAAATAAACAATTTGTCCCCTCTTGTTAAAGTGTTTCTTCCTTGGTACACATTGATATTTTGGGTGAAGAAGGACTTTACAAATACAAAACGAATTAAAAAGACATGCAAATAGTGTGAAAGATATGAAAGATAAGGAATGCAGGTTTTCAGCACAGTCAAAAATACTTTTTAGGTAAAATTCTCCAGAGAGAAAGACTACTTGCAAATTGCTGTCATTTTATGAACTACTTCCCTAAATAACAGCAGCTGCAGAGCACAATGGTTTTGTATCCAAAAAGCCCAGACCTAAACCCCTAACAGCTTAATTTAAAAGCCTGGCCCTCAGATGGTCTTTTCCTCTCTCAGCAAGATCACTGTTAAGCAGTTAGCAAAGATTATTTAAGAATATCAAACGTGATTGTTTTCTAAAGGGTCACCTGGAACATCCTAATGCTATTTCAAATAATTTCATTTTCACCTGAATGAATTGAGACTAACTATGCAATGGTTTTCCTAAGTGCTTTATTGGAAACCAGACCTACAGCATCTTAAAAACCAAAGCTGTAATTGCTCCACTTCTAAAAACCAGGAGTAAAGAAAACTGCTGATAAGGCAATGACACATAGTAAAGTGTTGTCAGTCTGTGATTTGATATTTTCTGTTTTAAGTCCTCTCAAATGTACTACAAGACCATGGAGCCAAGGTGAGGCCTGATATTTTATAACATCTGTAATATATAAGACATTACAGATGTTGCTATACTTAGAAGATAAAAATCCTGTAGATAAAACATTAAAGACTCAAAAAATATGAAGACAAGTGAAGAAATTTTTGCAACAGCTTCTAATTGTTGTAAAAGGTAATTATGTCCAATGAAAACTGGATCAGGGCTTGTGTTAAGAGACCAATGTAAAGGTTAAACCGATTCTGGAACAGTAAACTATTTATTCCAGACAACAGTCAATCACCTCAACAATTTACAAACCCAGAATGCAAATATAGATAAAAGGAATAAGCAACATTTTTGGGAACTGCAGGAAAGAATCATTTAGTACAAAAGGAGGAGATTGTCAGTGTTCAATAAATGGTTTGTTTGGTTGTTTTATAATAATGGTGCACACAGTGCTGGCAAAAATCTCTCGTTTTCAAGCTTAACAGGTTTTATTTAAAACTACAGTAGCTAAATATTACTGAATTGCTAGGACAGAAATTCATTGCCTTGTAAACTGATCTATATTTTAAATTAATGGACAAGTACTTCTTAGCCAAGGTGAGTGCATTAAACTTTCTGACCTAAAAGATAAGTGTAATATAGCAGAAAAAATAAATAAGACCAAAAGCTGTCACTATACAGGAAACTGACATCAAAAGCTACTGCAGTATTTAGGAGCACTGCTACACTGACAAGTATGTGATGCTCCTCTCCTCCTCCACTGAGGATGCTCCCTGCCCAGGCAACTGTGATGGCAAAGCAGAGCTGCTGTGTTTCACATAAGTGGTTCTGGAAGGAGTGACATTTTTGTGTGAGAATATATGACCCACAAGGTTTATATGATCTACCAGTCTTGGCCGTGCTCCGCACTGCAGGACACTTACTGTCTTTCACGGACAGCCAGAGCCACTAAAGAGATCACACTGGCTGGGATACCACAGCAGAAGAGGTAAAAATTGAGAGACCCATGAAAACGCCAAGAATTCAAATATCTCAATAGTGTCAAAGTATTGGGTTATTGCAATAATGTGGGGTTTTTTTGTACCAGTAACATGCAAGACTGAAAACATACTGTGTATCACAGCAAAAATGGTCTGGGTGGGAGCAGGAGTCAGGTGAAGGAAGAAAAGACAGAGTCAACAATATAAAAAGCTGCTTCATCTGTCATGTTGGTTTCCCTGCCACAGTATTTTCACCACCTTGGATTATTGAAATTTTGCTAAAATTAATTAAGCAAAATTGAGATGGAGGTGGACATTACATACTGCAGAGGATAGAAAAGCTGTCATGGGTGCCAGCTAAGGACCAGAGAGAGCCCAGCAGCCAGTGTCAGAAATTAGCCAATTAACCTGATTCTAGTGATTTTTCTTTGCAAAAATTAGAATTTCTTCATTTCTAGTCATAAAACCCAAAGCATTTCCTACACTGTAATGTATTAAAATTTGGAATTTGAAAATGGCAACGAATGTGCTTATAGAGCTGAAGGGAGAAAAAATAAACACAAATCAGTGCACTTTCAAAACCAAGGAGTTTAAATTTCTTTTGCAGCACATACTAAATATTTTTCCACAAGAAAACTAGAGAAAGTTCACCTATCTTGTGAAGATTTACTGTAGAAAATTTGGAAATTAGGTGTAGGCATTTTAGTGTAAATACAGGATTTCAGATCAGATTTAAGTGAAGGTTTTAATACATTCTTAATTGTCAATTTGCTACCAATGGGCCTGTAACACCATCAACCTTTTTAAGGTTCAGAACTCATCATAAAGATTTATGAAATTATTTTCACAAGATCACACCAAGGAGTTTTAAAAACATATTAGCATACAAGTACAACAAAAAGGGCAAAGACATGTCACGGAACTATTAAAAACACAGCAAATATGGACAGTTAAGCTTATTAAAACTTAAGGATTGCAAATAAATGTGCATAAGTTCCCAAAACAACATTAGACACAATACAATATAGAAAACCTTGCTACATCAGCACTGCAAAGAAAGAATACTACAGGGAAGCTGACAGCTGCTTTTCTCTAAATTCACACAGTCCTCATCTTCTCCTGTAAAAAATTAATGTATTTTTCTAAATAAATAGATAACTAAAAATTCAGTATGTCTGATTGTTGAAGACAAAACATCAGTACTATTTTACAAGCTGAAAACTCACCAATTATTCTTTCCATAAAGAAATACTTTACTAATTTATTTCCTTTGTTCAGTTATTTTTGTAGATTATGCCTCCTTTTTGCTAAGCATTTACAGATATTACAGCTACAGAAATATTTAATGAATCCAATCTTTGTACTTTACAGAATGAAGAAACAATGTTAAAAATTGTGGTCTTGTAAAGCTACATATTTTTAATCTCAATATTATATTAATATTTACTACAGCATATTTCTTTTTAGATTTGAATCCATCTTTAGTAATTGTACTCAATTGCATACTGCCACTCAAACCGAAAATTTAGCAGCATCTTTATCACACATAGCACATTTTTTTCCTAAATGTGTCAAGATTCAATAAATGCCACACTTATCAAAAGGAATTGTCTTCCTCAAACTGTCAAAATCCAGAAGGTAGCCCTGAAAATCCTTCACCAACTCACTTCACTGCAATAGTATTTATACATCTGATGTTCCATACCCATTTTTTAAACACCTAAGGTAAGTTTTGAAGTTAAGTAAGTTCAAGAGCCACCTCACCTCAATCTGTACTGGTGATATCTAGTGGGTTAAGCTTAAACAGAATATACTATATATAGAATACATGTCAGTTAAAAAAACAGGCACAAGTTAAAATTGTGCCCAAACCCTACATGCAGAGGTATAGCTAAAAAAAAATTTTGCTTACTAAACAGTAATTCTGAAATAGTTAAATAGTTACATGCAGGAAGTATTTATTACCGAATTTGATGTTAGCCATCATACATACTGTATTTAGTACAGCAAGCTAGATATTTAAGCTTCGTAATTACTAAGTGACATTATTAGTTTTATGCAAATTAATTTCAAGTCTGTTACCTTATTTACTTCCATGATTTCCCTTCTCTCTTCACTAGCAAAACGAAGCTGACTTGCAGCACCACGATCATCATGCTTGGAGCCATCTTCTTCAACGTATGGAATAAGTTGCTGTTAAGACAAGAAACATTAGCTTTAGGAAAAACAAAGGAAAAATGGGGAGAAAAAAAAAAGAAGAAAAAAGAAAGAAATTGAACACAGAAGATAAATAAGTTACTACCATTTTCTCTCAAGGTTCAAACTTCCTAAGAAGAACTGGAGACAAGCTTACTTTCATCCCTCAAACCCGAAGGCCTTGGAATGACCTCTGTTGGTTCTCCAGGAAAACCACGTGCTTCAAAGAGACACAAGCCCACACGCTACCGTGCCCAGACCGAAGCCATTCCACAGCTGCAGGCAGAACCCAGTCTTTACACATATTAAGATACTTATCACAGGTAGCCCTTGGATTCTTGAATTTGCAGATTGTGATTTTAAAATATGCTATTCCACACTATGAAACACCACAAACATTAAGTTATCATTATTATAAGGTATTTCAGTGATATATTAAGCCTGATTATGACTGGCTTTATATAGCTACTTGTTTAACAACCTAATTATGACTTGCTATTTTATTGGGCCTCTGTTTGGTTAATCTTAAGACCAGACCCACAGTTACCTAATTGGGAGTTTTTCCATAAGAATTTCCCACTCTGATCCCCTCAGGCACATAGTGTAATCTTCTACAGAGCCAAAAACCTTTGATAAAAAAATTTGTAAATGAATATTAATGTATGTTCCCTTCCTAAAAAACAAACAAACAAACAAACAAAAAAGAATTAGTAAAAAACAGATACAAAACCTACATGCTGCTGTGTTAAAGCACTGTCCAAGCTACTAACATCATATTGACCAGTTGATGTAGTCTACCTTGACC